CCGACGACAACTTCGACATGCGCGAGTACGTGACCAAGCTGCTCTCCGAGCGCTACGACGTCACCACAGCCTCCAACGGTACCGCTTTCGTTCCATAGCTTTATTTTTTCGTTTATGGTCTGCTTTTTTGTTATTTTTTTTCCTTCGCCCCCACCAACGCCCGGCTACTAGGGCCAACACTCATTTTTCCCTCTTCCTCTCTGTCGGCTCTCACAGGCATGGAAGCGCTGGCCATGGTGCAGCAGGAGCCCATCGACCTCGTGCTGACCGACGTCATGATGCCCCTCATGGATGGCTTCACACTCCTCAAGGCTCTCAGGTACCTCCACCCACCGCCTACCACCCACGCCCACACCCCATCCCAACCACCAGTGGCCCTCCTGTCAGCTCAGTTTAGTTCTCTATCACCTAGCAACCTCAAATAAGCGCAGAATACACGGCAACCCAAATTAGGGTTTCAAAATACCAAATAAGGGCAAGTGACCTAGGAGGAACATAGCCTCCACGTCCACACTTTTACCTAGCAATCACTCGCACACCTCCTCCTCGACCGCCAACCAACAAACCTTATACCCACACCACGCCACGCGCACCGATCAACACGCAGAGCCACGAGCGAGACCCGCATGATACCGGTCATCCTTCTGTCGGCGCGAGCAGGTGAAGAATCCAAGGTCGAGGGACTCGAAGCCGGTGCCGACGACTACCTCATCAAACCCTTCACCGCCCGCGAGCTCCTCGCACGCGTTGGGTCGCACCTGGACATGGTCCGCATGCGCTCCGAAGCCGCCCGCCGCGAACAAGAGCTTCGCTTCCAGGTACATTTGTTGTTGTTATTATTTACTATATATTTTCTTCATTTTGTTCGTTTATTATTTATTGTTTACATTTGTTGCCGTGGAGAATTGCACTTTGTTTATGTTGCATAAATGATAATAACGCTAAATTGGTTACTATTTACTGTTTTAGGTGAACGAGGCCAAGGAGCGACTGGAGCGGATTATTTCCTCGATCCAGGACGCGTTTGTGTCGCTGGACCGCGACCTGCGCTACGCGTTCGCCAACGACAACGCGGCGCTCATCGCGGGCGCCAAAAAGGAGGACATGCTGGGCCGCGACGTGTGGGACTTCATGGCCGACACGGAGGACAAGGTGGTGCGCAACAACCTCGAGCGGGCCATCCGCGAGCAGATCGACGTCTGCTTCGAATTCTACTACCCGGCCAAGGACCGGTGGTACGAGCACCGCAT